ACACACTCTACATGCATGCCACGCAGTTACACGCACTCTACATGCATGCCACACAGTTACACACACTCTACATGCATGCCACACAGTTACACACACTCTACATGCATGCCACGCAGTTACACGCACTCTACATGCATGCCACACAGTTACACACACTCTACATGCATGCCACACAGTTACACGCACTCTACATGCATGCCACACAGTTACACGCACTCTACATGCATGCCACACAGTTACACGCACTCTACATGCATGCCACACAGCTACACACACTCTACATGCATGCCACACAGTTACACACACTCTACATGCATGCCACACAGTTACACACACTCTACATGCATGCCACACAGTTACACACACTCTACATGCATGCCACACAATTACACGCACTCTACATGCATGCCACACAGTACCACACAGCTAGACAGTTATTACACGCTACACTCTTGCTACACAGAACCACACAGTCCCTACTTACAGATAGCACGAGTTTCTGCATGAGTTTCGTGTCGTCGACGACGTCACACAGTGCTAGCAGCACCAGATGCGCATGTTCCTCCACGCACACGCGCACCACGTGCGTCTTCAAACTCTTAAGAATGTGCTTCCTGTCCTGATAGAGCAACAAAAAACCGTGCCGACAATCAATGCGTCGCCGGAGTCACCCGGTGTCAGCCATCACGCAGGCGCCCGCTACGATTCTGCGAGTAATAACATGGCGGGACACCACAACCACCACCAGGGGGCTATCGTCGCGAGAGAGAAAGCCGCGGAATGACGTGACTAGCTTCGTCATGAAGCTAGGTTACAGATTGCACTGATTACTAATGTAACATGTGTTTTGCACGTGTTACATGAATTAGTCAGCGAGGCTAGACTAGGGTAGTTTGGTGACGGACCAGTTAGTCTGTGTAGACGCAGCGTCACACATATTGGGCGGCTGCATTGATGTTACAGGGAGTTGGATAAGCGGGTTTTAGGTTAGGCAGTTTCTAGGGTCATTCTGAAATGGGGGTAGGACTCGGTCTGAGAGAACGGGAACGCGTGCAGTATGTTTGTAGCAGTTTTGGGGGAAATATATAGAACAGAGATGTAGGAGGAAGGATGCTGGTTCTGGTCGCGGAAGGAGGCACACGCGCGTGCCATGCGCGTGTGCGTGGTTTTGTGTGATTGTCTTTGTGCGATGTGTCTACACTGTATGAGTTATTAAAGATTATGCCGGTTACAACACAAGTTTGAATTTATATCATCATCCCTGTTTACACTAAACCGAACACGCAGTAAAACACAGACCACACAAGAGAGTTCCACTGCTGTATTAATCCACCGCTTAGTCGAATTGCTATAAACAAAAGAACAGTCGAATTGCTGTAACGCGCGACGGCCGCACCACCCGCGCGATGGCGCCACGCGCATTACCTTGGCCGTGCCGTGCCACACGCAGTGCATCGCTACTTTGGCGCCCTCTCTCGTGTGAACCATGTGAACGACGGTGTCGCGCAGGGCCTCGATGACCTCTGACCTCGGCGCGTAGTCGGCGGCGTGCGTGAAGAAGTCCAGGAAGACTCGGTGCACGATGCTGTGCTGCAACACATTCCTGCAAGCGGACGTATAGCGTGGTGTGATTGAGGTACAGCATGACGTGATAGAGGTACAGCGTGGTGTACTGGACGTACAGTGTGGTGTGGTGGAGGTACAGCATGACGTGATAGAGGTACAGCGTGGTGTACTGGACGTACAGTGTAGTATGAGAGATGGAAATAGATATTCTACACTTTTCGTTAGGTTTGAGCAGATTCTCCTTGAATGCTGGAGTAGATCGCCTTCCTTCCTTGTTCGGGCTTCCCTCGCGGGCCGCGAATATCTTGATCGAGCGGACCTGTGATTTCATCTCCCTATCGCAAAAGTAGATTCACTTTAACCAAAGTCGCTCACTTTCTTAAGATGTTGTTCGGAATTCGCTTAGTGATAAATACAATATTATCAACTCGTTGTAACTTGCCGACGAAAAACAAGATCACGGAACATAATAATATCCAATACATCGAGAGGCAGGGAAGTCGGAAGACAGCATGTGTGTAGCAGAAGCAGTGTGCGTTAACTTATTGCACGTAAACATGTCAACATTTCTCCGTGTCGTACGTTCACATGGCATTCTGGGTGCGGAAAAACAAATGTTCCGGGAACACGGTTTGTTTACCGCCACGTTTACGGCCGTTACGCGACGGCAAACTTCCGCGGATTTGCCCGACGCGGATCTTGTACCCTTGCACAACAACTGCGAGAGCTTTGTCGCATATGGTAGAACTCGTCTTCGCCGCACCATCGCCCTGACGCTGGCCCGCCTGCGCGGCAATCTTCGTTGTAGAAGTAGTTCGACGAATTCGCTGTGCAGGCTGTGTATCTGCCTAGTACGTCATTACTTTCCACCTGTCACATATACGTTGGGCACGCTCACGTACCAGCGCGCAGCGGTTACACAACTAGGTCACAGCGGCACAGTCGCGCAGGATCGAAAACTGTACACTGCGTTCAGGTTCTTGCACATTCATGTACATTAGATTTTATCTGGTTCTTAGCATCTAAGCAGTTCTTACTATGTTGATGATCGTACTGGTAGTGTTAGGTCGTATACTGTATCTATACTTGATTACTTATAGTGATCTATAGTATATATATTTAAGCATACTGTAAATTGCTTGGCCATATGTCTTGAGAACAACAAAATGCTGCAGGCATATTTACAAACAAAGTACGCTAGCTAAGCTGTTAGCTTGCAGTATAGAACTAATACGAGAGCTTAAAACGGACAGACACGCGTCGTCGTGAACACGCACCTGTCCAGAGAAGCTGTGGAAGATGGCTTTTCGTTGCACCTTCGTTCCGTACTTTATCAACTTCTCCACGAAGAACTTGGCGTATTTCGACTTTGCCATAGGCACTATCATGTCTGAAACGAACACGATCGTTCACGATCACAACATCTATCAGTGTGCAGCAACACAGTTAATACACTCGAGTCTGTGTACTATGGGAAGAAGACAATGGCAATGAGGATGATGAAGTAGATGCAGATGGAGAAGAAAGAGGACACGAAGATAATGAAGAAGATGCAGATGGAGGAGGAGAAAGAGGACATGAAAATAATGTAGAAGATGCAGATGGAGAAGGAGAAAGAGGACATGAAGATAATGAAGTAGATGCAGATGGAGAAGAAAGAGGACACGAAGATAATGTAGAAGATGCAGATGGAGGAGGAGAAAGAGGACATGAAGATAATAAGGAAGCAGACAGAGATGAAAGAAGACGACATGAAGATGTCAAACAAAGAAGAAGCAAAGCCTACGAGCAGAAAATGTAACTTCCAAAGTTCACAGTTCAACAATCGTTATGGAACGTGAGCTAATTAGAAGACATAAGGAAGCACATGTTCTCCATCACGAGATCTCACTACAGTACTCCACGCATTAAGTCACTGCCACGTTCGAACCTTTCAATTCCTCGAACAGTGCATTCCTGTAGGTGGCGCTACCGTACTTCTCCAAACACTCGATGACTCGCACTGTGTCGTGGGCGAAAATCAACTCCGGCGACTTGCCTTTTATCATCTTCCACAGTTGAGCACAGAGCTTCTGTTTCTCAGCATCACTCACATCCTGTCTAGAGACGCCAGAACGGAGAAGAAAAATGGTAGATGAGCAGGAATTCTATATTAACAGAAGCAAGCAGCAGTTTTCTGCCTACAAAGGTACTTACCACCTGGCAAAAAATACAGCTTTAAATGTGATAAAGCATGTTATAACAGTCATATCTATGGCCTGCCAGCGAAAGACATGTTTGGTGTTTCTCTTGAGTGGCAGTTATACATTGAAACCACCTCTACAGAATATACACGCATCTATAAAGAATTTTCGGGGGTTACCCTTCAGAGATTCTTACATACATGTTGGACTGCACACAGAGTGTATTTCAATCAGAACTAGACAGAGTGCACTCACGGAGTGCATACCTCTGCCAACGACATAGGCCATACGACTCACGAACACACGAATAACCCACGATATACGCCAGCGTACTGACATGTACATGTCTTCCATGTAACATGTATGTGTTACGAGCTGGCTCGCTGGGCTCGCTGGCTTGCTGGCTCGCTGGGTGATATCGATCGACCGCCAACGACATACGCCATATGCCATACGACTCGACGCGCTAATATCGATCGCGCGAACACACGAACACACGAGAGCAAAAACATAACCTCCTCCAACTCTGTTGGGCGGAGGTAATTAAATTTGTTCCCACAAATTATGATGATGGCAGATGATGACAAAACAGGTGTTTTAATTAGACATGCTCGCTAAGATGCTCGTTGTGACTCACTTTCTCAGTTCTTCCCAGATTTTTTTTGCTTGGACAGCAAGATCATAATTCTTGTTGGTGTGCTGCTGTCGAACGACTTTCCGCTCCTTCTTCTTCAGTTCGTGAAGTTGTGGCCTGTCCTCCTTCCCGCCTGGTGCAGCCTTCTTCTCTGCTGGCAGTTTCTGCTTCTTGCTTGGCTTTTCTACATACAACAAACATAATTGGTGATCTGTAGGACATATGAATGTATAGGAATATGGGGAATGAGTATATTTCTCAGATGTTTACCTTAGAGAAACCTATTCAGTGTGCGCACGCGCACGCACAGACGGATGGACACACACACACACACACACACACACACACACACAAACAAACAAACACACACACACACACACACACACACACACACACACACACACCGACACACACAAACGCACGCGCGCGCACGCACGCATGCACGCATGCACGCACGCACACACAAACACTCACTCACACAAACATCATGAATGTTCTGATACATTGGCGAATATTGCGCTTAAAATGTTCTTGGCTTTCTTGTACATCTAAGAAATGTTTGGTCGCATTGCTTTGCACTGGGTACCTACAGTTTGCATTGTGTTGTGATTTCTCTCACCTGTAGCATTGTCAGTGTCTGGAGATTTGCGTTTAAGTTTTCGGTCTTCAAAAGGCCCACCTTCAGCTGCCACACCTTTGCTTGTCTTCCCCATCGCAGTCTTCATCTTATCCGGTTTCTAATAAGAATTTAAATGAGCACCTATCAGATAGCACTAGGCTTGTTGATTTAAAACAGCTTGAAAATAGGTTCGTTTTTCCAAATCTGATTATTATTGTACATGACAAGTTTCCGACGGTAATGAACTTTAAGGAAATAAAAATACACGTGTTCATGGGTAGAAATTAACTTGTGAACAAGGGTGTCCAACATACAGGGATGAGATTGGATAATTTAATTTTCAGCTGAAATTTTAATTAGCAAACGGAGGAGCGAGCAATGGGAGGGTCGTAGGTCATTGCCATGCTAGGGGGGTCTGGAGGCATGCTCCCCCGGAATTTTTTTAAAAGAATGGTGCAATTTGGTGCATTCTAAGCTATTCTGAACACATTATAGGAGACTCTTGAATGACCTTTTCAAGTTGTCAAAAGGAACAAACGAACTATAAGTATAATAGGAAATCAGGGGGCTGAAAATAGGGCAAGTTTTTTTATTAAATGTCTAGACATAATGATATTTTTCT